ATATATTTCCACATGTATTTTATTAGAAGCTACAGGTGTCCTGGCTTTTGTATACTAGAAGGTATTTGAGATGAATGCTTTGGGGGGACAGTCACTAGAGAGGGAAGAAGGGCTGTGATTCATAGGTGTCTTGTATTTGTGAAGTTGGGACCCACACAGCAGCTTGGTCCTGGATTACTGCTGGGTCTGACATACCACCCTGCCTCCAAGGGCAGCTCTCCCTGCTTCATCTTTTCAAGCTTCTGTATGATTTCTGTCCTGCTCAGTGCTCAGGTCTCTCTGCTTTCCTACTTCTCCAAGTATCTCTAGGAAGATACTGCCCTGTGAATAGAAATTTAAAGATTATATTTGAAGATCCAGTCAATGAAAATATATTTGGATGTCTTCACAACTGTGTGTGTGTGTGTGTGTGTGTGTTGAGAAGGAGAAAAGAGACTCTTCTAGACTGTATTTTCCCTTCCTCTCTCCCACCCCTCAAATAAATGCACAGAACAGAGGTCCTGTAGTGTCATGCTTCAGAATATGACTCCGGAACCACTCTTCTTACTTTGAATCCTGGCTTGGCCCTGACGTTTGGCCAACATGCTAAATTGTCTATGTCTCAGTTTCCCAGTCTGTAAAATGGGGATGAGCATAGTTGCTGCCTTATACGATTACGATAAGGCTCACAGAGTTCTCATATAGAAAGGACTTGGAGTGCCTGGCACATCAGAAGCTCTGGGTCAGTGTTAGTGATCATCGAGCCAAAACCATATGCATCCTATCTGTTCTGGAATACTTGGTAGGAACAAAAATGTATTTTGTACATTTAAAATGTACATTTTGAATCATTATTTTGTCTAAATTTTTACAGTAACAAAAACGAATTCCTAGTCACAGGTTTGGGTGGGAAAGATCAGTTCTAATTAGAGAAGGCATCAAATACAGCCTCCCGGAAGGTACTGAAAAGTGGAAAGTTGTTCAGTTCTACTTGTTATAACAACAACACCCCTTGAACATTCCAGGTGATGCACCATGCTGTGTGCTTGACCTGATTGTCTCATTTGAGGCTGTTAGGAAGTTTCTAGGTTTGTTCCTATACCCATTTTACAGAACACTAAAGGAGTTAGGCAAGGTCATGAAACTTGGTCCAGGGAGGCAGTGGCTGAATGCCATCTGTGGAATTCCTGAGCCCACCTGCTTACTTGCTGGGGATGCTATGCCACCACTGAGGCTCATGGCCCCTGCCCAGGCCAACCTGGGGGAGTCACTCTGCTCTATCATCTTAATCACATCATCGCCTATGGTTGGTAGTAAGTCTAGGCATGCATTTCCTTTTAAAGCAGTCTTAATGTTGTCGAACGTCTGCTGGCAAGTCAGCTTGCCAAAAACAAGGAGCCAGATTTGTGATATTTTTGTTTCCTATGGTTTGATGAAGCTAACCGGCCTAGAAAACTCCTTTTATAGATGTGAAATAGCTGGGGTTTTTATCCGAGGTTGGTGGTGACCTATGTGAGCGAGCTCCCTATTGCTCTTTGACTGATGCCCTTCAAGCTTGCTAATTTCATTCCAGGAGGGGGACCAGAGCAGGGCAGTCACCTTTTTGTTTAGCATGAACTCAAACATTTGAAAGGATGATTTTGAGCTTTTATTTTATTTTTTTTTCTTGTTCCTAGACAACAATGGTGAGATAATTCAAGTGTGCACCTACACTAGAATATGGCAGACATTCTGTAATCTTTGTTCTTTATCCTCTGGTGACCCTGAGGAGAAGGGGGATTTGCTGTCAGTCCTTGGAAACCTGGAAAGAACTATAGCCACAGCCTAATCCTGAGCTATGAATTTGCACTCATTTGAGAAATAGGCCAATTTGACAAAAACACTGAGTCATTAAGCTTGGTCTTGACCTCTGAGACAGGATTAGTAAACAAACTGAATCATAAATTGTTTATTATTTTGGTCACAGAAGCTGAAGAGTCCACATCAAATGAATCTTTAAAATTATATTATCCTACATGCTTCAGATTGAACGTTGTCAGTTACTTGGACTCCTAACACTGTTGCAGATTGAAATGTGAAAGAAAACATCTTTCTACAATGGAATATTATAATTCGATTTAAAGGGAAAATATTCTTTTACTCTTCTCACTCTTCTAGAAGAAACTGTTCCACTGAATAATTGATGCTTCTAAAATGAAGCCTTGTATTTTTATGATACTAGAATAGCTTTCATTATCTAAATGAATGCTAGAGAGCCCTGCATATTAACTATGTCCATATAATAAACATTTTGAACATAGGAAGACTCAGCCAACTTGATTGTTCTTAGGTAAAGTTGAGATTGGGAATTACACAGAACCACAAATAATTGCACGTGATAAAACTAATCATGATATGCAAATTGGCAACTATTAACAACCACATGAAGATTTTCCCCATAGTTTTGTTTAAATAAAGTAGATTGCCTCATCTGGAAACTTACATCATTCAGAATGGCAAATACATTATGCTTTACACTTTTTAAAAGAATTGGGAGAAATAGTCATTTGTAATCTTTATTTTAATTTTATATTAGGTTTTTAAATTCATTGGTTTTCATGACAGACAGACAAAACAAAACACGATGTTCCCTGGTATTTATTGCATATTGTGGATCAGAAGTTCCTACTTCTAAAATGTGTACTTGGCTCAAAATGATATAAATACACTCCATGGTTCTGATTTAAACTTAAGAAAATCCTTTCTGGAGATTACACAGCGGGTCTTTGTTACCCCAGGATAATTAGAACCAGAAAAAGGCCACTTAAGATGATCCACTTCAATGGGGACAATATAGTGAATAAAGAAAAAGCTTGGGAGATTATTTTGAAAAGAATCAAATGAAAATAAGTTTATTTTAACTAACATTTAACACAATTTAGGTGATTAGTGTGACTGTGACCAGCTCTTAGAATAAGAGTACAAATATCGAGTGTTGATTGTTTTGAGAGGAGTAAGGTTTTGGGGCAGTATTTTATAAATTCTCCTTATTCTAGGGCTGGGGTTATGGCTCAGTGGTAAAGCACTTGCCTACCATGTATATGAGACACTGGGTTCGATTCTCAGCACCACGTATAAAAACAAATAAATGAAATAAAAGTCCATCAACAACTAACTAAAAAAATTTTTAAAAAATTCTTCTTATTCTAAATTCAAATCTATTTCTTTATGTCTTCCACTTATTGGCCCTAGGTCTGGTATGGCTAATGAATGTGAATTTAAATATGGTTTTCTTTAACTATCAATTCAATCACTACATTTAGTTTTTTGGTGTGTAACCACTTAGCCACATCCCCATCCCTTTTTGTATTTTATTTAGAGACGGGGTCTCACTGAGTTACGTAGGGCCTCACTAAATTGCTGAGGTTGGCTTTGGACTCGAAATCCTCCTGCCTCAGCCTCCTGAGCCACTGGGATTAAGGCATGTGCCACCACGCCCGGCTACATTGTAGTATTTTTTCTACCACATTTGACATTTCCATCACATCATAAAGATGGCAGGTGCTACGAAAACATTGAGGATCTTGTTGGTCATTTTCCTTTGGAGCATTTTCACTTCTTTAATATAAAAGTCCTTCTTGAAATTCCTACCTTGCTACCAACTTTTAATTTTTCTTTTAAATAATTGCTTTCTAATCAAACTGCTCAGTCCCCACTTGCTATTGTTTCTCCTCTTGTTGGGGAAATTCTATAATGTTGTTTTATTTATCTTATGTAATTGTGTATTTGGGGGCAAGTTTTGCAGTTTCAGTTTGCAGCAGACACACACCTTTTTATGGGAGTATAAGCCATTCATTGGCAGTATTAGGCATAGATGCTGATGTTGAACAAAGATGCATTTTGGGGGGTGGGGGGGTCCCAGGGATAGAACTCAGGGGCACTCCACCACTGAGCCACATCCCCAGCCCTATTTTGTATTTTATTTAGGGACAGGGTCTCACTGAGTTGCTCAGTGCCTCACTGTTGCTGAGGCTGTCTTTGAACTCACAATTCTCCTGCCTCAGCCTCCTGAGACGTTGGGTTTACAGGCATGTGCTAACGTGCCCATCTCAAAGATGCAGTTTTGAGTGGAGACTCAAGTCATAAGACAGTTATTAGGAAATACATGAGTGTTTTGAAGGCATACTTTTCTGAGCATACTTTTAACTTTAGGGATTTGGATAATGAATATTCATAATGAGAACCCCTAATTTTTTTGTAGGAATTTTTTTGTAGGAATCCATCATCACCATTTAAATAGAGCATCAAGTGCTCTATTTAAATAGAGGTTATATGAGTGGGGAGACCCTGACCATGAGTCCGATCAAGGATGGATCACTTACTTTCTTTGACCTACATTTACTTATATTTTCTATTCACAGCATCCTGTTCTAAATTGTTGGATATGTTACACGTATCAAGAGTGATATCATTCTGTTTTCATAGAATCCTTGAACTGAGCAGACATGAACCAAGTCCTTCTTTTGGTTATTTGTACACACACACACACGCACATACAAACACACATGTTTTATAATTTCAATAGTTTCATCCATTCATAATCATGCTTTTGGCAAAGCTGTAATCAGCACTTTGGTAGTTTTAAATTCTGCCATTTGCTGGTGGTATTTCACGAGTGTTTGCTATGTATTGCAGTCTTAATGTCTTCTTCTGCTTCATTTTCAATGGCTGATAGTCCACTGAGTAGAGGAGTTGTAACATAAATGAATAAATATATCCCGTCCATTGGGCAACATCTTAATACTTTGAGGTTTTTTTTTTTTTTGGGGGGGGGTTGGCCATGTTACTAAGATTTCTTTGAAGGTAGACCATTTTTTAAAAAGAGCTTCTCCGACTTGAAGCACAGTTGTGTGTGCATTTCTGTATGCCTTTTGTTGCTGCTGTAAACAGGAAGAAACAAACTAAGGCAAGCGCGTGTTTAAGTGAAGCAGAGGGAGGAACAAAGGGAAATTGCAAGAACATTATCTCATTCTGCTGCCAAGCAGGGCACATGGAGATCCTGGGGTGTCCAGGAGGAAGATGACAAGACAGAAGCCCAGGTGGAGCTCTGAGGGGTATCTATCCTCAGTTGCTTGGCTGGCCCTGCCGTAGTACACCTAGTGTTTGATCATCTGGGAAGATTGGTGACCTTTGGCTTTTGAAGCTGCACTGCAGGAGCAGCAGGCTCATCCAGGGAGGAAAGCAAGCAGTCATCCTCAGAGGGGAGACAGTCTCCAGGAGCAGATGGGCTCACAGCGGTAAAGCATCCACAAACTGAATTAGCTAATACTACATTATTAAAAAATACAGCACTTTTCATTTTTGTTCAAGATCTTGGAAATTTTCAATGCACCCTTGGGGGAAAATAGTTTGTTCATCCGTTATAATTAGATTTGCCACCTCTTACTCAGATAAAGGAAGGTAATTGACACTTTCGCCTTCTTACTGCTCATCTACTTCGGGGTGTGTATGTCATTGCTTCCTCTGCATATGTGGGTGAACTATTTGCAATGCTTATTTCACATAGCTTGCCACAGGACGGAGGTGGGTATTGGGCAAGAATGGGAACTATGCATTGCAGAAATAAGGGTAATTTGTTTTTTTGCAGTAGCTAATAACAAATGTTTCAAGTGAAGCCAAGTTGAAGTGGATTCAATCAAGGCAATTTTAGTCATAATTTAAATGAGCAAATACAGGCTGGGGATGTAGCTCAGTGATAAGGCGTGTGCTAAGTATGCATAAGACCCTGGGTTCATTCCCAGCAACACAATATTAATTTAAAAACTAGAGATTTATAGAAATGGTATGTTGATTTCAAATTCTGCTAGGCTAGGTCAAAGGGCAATGAGCAAATACAGACTGGGGATGTAGCTCAATGGTAAGGCATGTGCTTCATGTGCTTAGTATGCATAAGACCCTGGGTTCGTTCCCAGCAACACAATATTAATTTAAAAACTAGAGATTTATAGAAATGGTATGTCAATTTCAAATTCTGCTAGGCTAGGTCAAAGGGCAATAAGGGATACTGATAAAGTAGGAGACAGTCTGTTGTTTTCAGAGGTTGACTTATACCAGTTAATCCCATCTCACACATGTGTATAGTTCAACTTTGAAAGTTACATCCTATAATCTTTAAAACCTTTTCTGCCTCCTAGGTCCTAGCTACCTTGGAGATTGGCGATTTTCTAAATCCAAAGGAGAAGTCCAGGAAGGGACCGTGAATTCTCTTTTGAGTTTCAACTAACAGAATAAAAGGTAATTGTTGAGGATTTTAGAATGTGTTTGCAGTACTTGGGGGAGACTGTCTACAATAGTAGCAACTATGAGTGTGGGATGTTTTCTCTTACAAAAACGTATCCGGTACTATTGTGTTTTAGTTATATGCGATGTATTTAATAAACAACAACAATATATTCTTCTTAAGTAAGCCTTGTCAGCTAGGTTTACCAGAGGTTTAAGGTGTTAACCTGTCTAAACAGTCATCTCTGTTTATTTCTCTTTCTCTCTCTCTCCCTTCCTTACTTCTTTCCTATCTTTCTTTCTTTTCTTGTCTCTTTTTTTGAGGGTAGGGGAGCTGGGGATGGAACCCAGGGCCTTTCACACCTGCTAGGGAAGTGCTCTACCACTGAACTGCATCTCCAGACCCTGTTCCAATGCCACACCCCTCTGCCTGCCTCTCATGCATATTCTGAATGTCATCCTCACATGTGGGAAGAGAATGTAAGAATTTAATTTCTAAGACATAAGATATAGAATTACAAACATAGGGGCTCATTTTAATCATATAAATATTTTTTTCTTCTTTTGTGGTGCCAGGGATCAAACCCGGGGCCATGTGCATAGAATGGAAGCACTTTATCACTGAGCCCCACCCCAGGCCTTAATCTCATATACATTTGATAAACTTATTAACCAACCTCCCCTCCCCGCTGCAGTCCCAGGATAACTGATGGTATCACCCTAAGACCACCTCTTTCTTTGGACTGCAGGAACTGCTCCCCTCCCAGCCATCTAATCCCAAAGCAATGCTCCCTGACCCACAGGCAGAATTTCTTACCTGGATACCCATCAGTTCTTCTGTATCGCATTCAAAGTCCCAGGTTCATCCTCAGCTCCCTTATTATTGTTCCAAAAGATTCTCCTTTCCAAAATCCATCCACAATCTTTTGTTATTAGGGGCAATCACAATTCTTGCTCTCCAGTTCTCCAAGTATTGATTTATTTCCCCCTCTTCTTCCCATTGCTCTGTCTAATGATTGGATTTATAGTTAAAGAAACTCATATTTACTATATTGTTCTACTTATTTAGCCACATCTGTCCTACAGCCAATGGGTAGAGGATATAAAGAAACCAAATTGAAGCTGGGCATCATGGCTCACCTCTGTAATCCCGGCAGCTCGGGAGGCTGATGCAGGAGGATTGCAAGTTCAAGGCTAGCCTCAGCAACTTAGTGAGGCTCTAAGCAACTTAAAATAAAAAACAAAAAAGCCTGGGATGTTGCTTAGTGGTTAAGCACCCTTGGTTCATCCCCAGTACAAAAAAAAAAGAAAGAAAGAAAAGAAAAGAAAAAGAAACTAAATTGAGCTCACTATAAGGAGAATCTTTGAAATATCAGACATTCAAATGAACAGCTTGTCTGTCCTGGAGGAAGATCTCCATTGATGGAACTATTGCCATAGAAACTGCACACCTGTCTGGCAAGGATGTTGTAGCAGAGGAGCTTGGCTGATTTGGGAGATGATCAAATGAGGTCCATTTCTAGGTCCATTCCAAACAACAAAAAGCATTATACAGTGACTTGAATAGTGGCTCAAGGGAAGCAAAGTTTTTCGTTTTTGTGCATTTTAAAAATTACACAAGGCATTCAATGTGATTATTGCACTTGTAATGATTAGCACTTCAATTGTGCTTTGGGGGCTACTTTTTAAAACTTTCCTTCTCAGATCGATTTCTGAATAGCTTGCCCTTAGCCCTCATGAGGTTAGAGGATGGTTTCGTGTATCTGTAGCAGGACTGGGGTGGAGTGCTGCTCGGAGGGTTCTTCATAGCAGGGGAAGCCCAAAGGGCCTGGAGATCGAGGGCTGGCCCTGGCAAGGGCCCTGGGTTTGGTTCTCAGAGAGGAAGGTATATCAGGGCAGTGACTATGACGAGCTACCAAAGGAGAAAAAAATGACAAGAGTTTGAAGCAGGTGTGTGTTTTGCTAGCTTGGGAGACCATTACTATGAGTTTATTATAAACCTGTTAGGAGGATCTTATCGTGACCTTTGAACCCCACCTGCTCTGCTACCTTGCATTTCTAGTGTCTGCCTCCATAGCCGTCTCCCAAGTACCATTCTGTAGGGGCGATAGGAGAATTGTCATTAAACATGAGATAAAGTACCATGTTTCTGAGAATGCTTGAATGTCCTGTGACCGTCCTTTAAAGAAAATAGATACTTGAACCTTAAAAGGCATATTTAAGTTTTTTCTGTGTGTCTGTGTGGTGCTGGGGATTGAACCCAGGGCCTTGTGCATGTGAGGCAAGCACTCTTCCAACTGAGCTATGTTCCCAGCTCTATTTAACTCTTAACACAATTTTTAGACTCCTCTTTCCTCATCTCCATAATTCCAGGAAGAAGTATTTCTTTTTCTTCTTCCCTTTCAATGCAACATCACTTTGTTCTTATGTCATTGACTCAGTCCTTTTATTCATAAAGTGTGGAAAAGTTCTCTCCTCACTCAATACTGGAATCTGAGCACCATGGGGAAAAGGGTTTCTTTTTGTTTTATTTTTACTTTATGCCAAGCCCTAGAACAGTATCTGGCATATAGTAGGTGCTCAGTGAACATTTACTTAATGAACTCAGGCAGCTCCTTGACTGAACCCGAAGTTCCCTGGGGATGGGAACTCTTCTTTCATCCTGAATTGGTCCCTGGACCAATTCACTAGCCACCACACTTCAGGTTGTGACACCTCCACATGGGCTTCTCTCTGGGAAGAGCCTGGGAGGGATGTTGTGTTGTCACTGTGTAGGTGACTGTAGGTTAAGCTCAGTCACCAGCACAAAAGGACAGATGAGATGTGGAAGGAAAGCAGAAGCGAGAGCTGGCATTGGTGTCCATGCCAGGCCCTTTTTACTTGCTGTGTTCGCCGGCCCCTCCCAGGAAACAGTGCAAGGGGCTGCGGGTGGGGGTGGGGAGCAGGAAGGGCGGTTGCTGGTTGTCACAACTGAGCCTTCCCCTCTGGTCAGGTCTGGGAGGAAGTGTGTGGTGAGTCACGTGGAAGTAGAATGTCCCTGATACGGGGTTAAGGTGGCTCTTTGGTTTCTAAGCCCTGCTGAAGCCATGAAGGAGAGGAGGCTGCCCGGAGCTTTCTTGCTGTGTGCGCCATGAGCTTCGCAGCAGAGAAGACTCTGGTGATGGAAGAGCACAGGCTCATTCTGATGATCTAATAACATCTTTGAGTAGGTGCCCTGAGGGGAGTTCTGGTTTCTGGCTTCCTTTCCCTAGTGATCCGAAGGAGGAGGGAAGGAGGCAGGCTTTTCTTCAGCTTCCAGGCTAAGCAAGTCTTTCTGGAAAAGACGTTTTAGGTGCAAAGACTTTAAGGCGCACTACCAGTTACCTTGTCAGCTGAGATGTAATTCTGAGGCAGTCAGGAGGGTGTTAATTGAATAAGCCAGGAACCAGTGCTACTCAGCCCTCCCTCCCCTCTCCCCCGCTTTGTCTTCTGTCTGTCACACTACATTCCAGCTTTAGGAGCTGTCCTGCCCTTGCATGTCAGCTTTTGGACCGAGACACATTAGTAAATGCTGGATCTTCTTCATTATCTAGCATTCACTAACGCGCATCCCAGGTCTCATACCTGCTGCCAGCCTGTCTTCCTGCCTCTCCTGCACACCTTGCATCCATCACCTCCTCTTTTGCTCATGTTCTTTTCCTCCTTCACAATTCTATCCTGCCCATGGGGAGAGTCCCCCAGTCTCAGCTCCATTGCCTGCGATGCCATTTGCAAATACAGCACCTTATGACAGCTTTCCTGGCCTCACCCTCCAGGGGAGACACACCTCTTTGCTATACTGTGGTGCCCTGTGCTCCTTACAGCCTCACCTTCTTCTGTCCCTGTGCCAACAGTTTGTAAGGCCAGGCCAGCAGGTGTGCTGTACAGGCCACCACCTTCTTCCTCTCTCCTTCCTCCCCTTCTTCCTTCCTCCTTCCCTCTTTCCTTGCTATTCTTTTTTTTTCTAAGTTTTCCTCTCTAATATTTTTATTTGTAGATGGACACAATACCTTAATTTTATTTATTTTTATGTGGTGCTAAGTATTGAACTCAGTGCCTCACACATGCTAGGCAAGCGCTCTACCACTGAGCTCAACCCCAGCCCCTCCTTGTTATTCTTGATTTGCACTGAACTCCATCACACTTCTTAACACATGATGCACTTTTTACAGTGTACATCTTTGGCTCTAGCCCCTTCAGCATGACATCTCCAGAGTTTCCCGTGCAGGCTCCCATCCTCCACCCCTCCCTGGGTACCACATGCTGTTCCAAGTTTCCCACTGGGATCAGGTACAAGGCCTGAGCTTATTGGCCTGATTGCTACAAAGATATATGTGGTAGGAAGAACCTTGTCTTTCCACTCTCCCATGAAAGACATCCATGGCCTAGTCCATAAAAAGAACTATGTGATTACTGTGAGCTTCTTGAAAACACCAGGTTCAGTCTCAACATTATGGTCTTGAACACACTGTTCCTAGTACCTTGAGTGACTTCCCCCTTCCTTCTCAACTGGCTAAATCTGATGATCACTAAACATGTCATTCAAGAGGCTCCTCCTAGAAGCCACTGGGCCACGTACACCTGTGGCAGGGCTGGGGAGGTAGACAAAACTGTTAGAGCATTGCCATGCTGTATGTTTTGGATGCTGATCTCAACCAAACAGACTTTTGCTAAGGTGGGACTGGATCCCTGACTTCTAGCATCATACTGAAAGCATAGGTATTTAGGAAGTGGTTGCCTTTTTTGATTCTTCATCTTTAGGTCTTCCAATCTGTACTTGGTACTTTTTGTTTTAGGTTATTGTTTTCATAGCAAAATATTTAATAAAGAACTCCTGGGTGCCACTGAGAGGAATAAAGTCTATAGACTGAAGTTCCAACTGTTTCTTAAACCATGACCTCAATGGCTTCACCAACTACTGCTGCTATTCTCATGAAGATGTGCAATATGTATTTCCCACCACATTGGAGAATTTTTGAAATTAGTGGAGTAAGTTA